CAAAAAAGATGTAGAGTCAATAAAAATAATCCCACCAACACCATGTTAAAATAAAATGGAGCTACCTTTTATTTTAAAGTATGCAAAACTAGATCAAATGCATGAAACCCAGATTTTTTCTTCATTTTTTTTTTCTTTATTGCTGTCCACAACATTTTCGGTTTATCTTGCATTCACTTTTTGTGTCTTCAGATGAGAAAATATGTGGAGAAACAGAATAGTTCTTTGCACAAAAAACCAATAATATCTTCAAATATTTGACCATATTAATTTAATAATTTAACCAGTGAGATTTGTTTTCGATAAAAAGAAAAAATATCATAAATTTATATGCTTAACACATGTCTTATCGATTATTATTCCATTGTTCTAGATACATTGAAAATTGGAGTTTAAATTTGAGTGAATTTAAATATCGACGGTGCAGTTGGTTTGGAATTAAACTGTATATAGAACCAAATTGTATTCAAGCAGCAGATTTGATGTGATTGATAACTGCGTTAGCCATAAGACATTAAATCCAATTTCGGGACTTCAACTAGTTTTCTTCAATTTCTATTGGTACAAATAAGATTTAAAAAAAAAAGTAATAATTCTGGGAGCAATTGACAGCTACTCACAGCCTGGTGTTAGTGGATCATAAAAGGATTAGGTCAGAAATTGGATGCAATAAGGATGAAAACAGCTTTGATTTTTGAGAGCGACCAGGATTGAAAAGAAACCAACGTAATATCTATTTCAAGGGATTTTTTTCAATGTTCCACCTATTTCAGCTGGAAGCCAAACATTTACGTTAATGTGCTTGCATTTACGGTTCATCCAACTGAAATATATATATATATATATATATATATATACATGTATATATCACTATCTGATGGCTATAAAATAATGAATTTGGATGATGTTTGATATATAAAATTATGATAAAATAAAATAAAATTATAAATAAAATTAAATTAAATATTATAATCTTATTTTGTGTATGATATATACGATAATTATAATAAAATAATTTATGTATTTATTAAAATTATTATTTTTTAAAGTTTATATAATTTAAATTATTGATGTAATTTTTAAAGATATAATTAAATATGTAAATTTAATCTTATGAATTAAAAATAATTCTCTCAACTTGAGAAATTAAATAATCCTATGCTAAAAAGATATTAATGCTTCTTATAATCTCTATTTTTTTATATACATATTAAATATGATATAAAATGATTATCATTTTATTCTATTAATAATTTTATACATCAAACATGATTTTTAATTGTTAAAATTTAAATATTAAATTTATTAAATATCACATTTTAAAAAAATCGTATAAATAAATTAAATTAAACTCTATGTTTGATTTAAGTATTTAGTCATCAATGGAATTTTATTTGTTTTAATTAAACAATATTTAATGAACAATTCTGTCCCTTGAATTCCCTTTAAAGCATCAATCCGGTTTATGATCATCAACAAGTACCTAATAAAACACACAATTGCATCAAGCATTTGTATTGAAAGAGATTCCTTTTTTTTTTGGCTCGGAGCTCTGCCTGTTTGGTCCATGTGTTCAGGGCCATGGATTGCTAGAGGGCTTAACATGCAAGTTATAGGAATATATATCTGATTTAGGGACTAATAAGGGTTTGGGTTAATTAATTCTTTGTCTCAACGGTAAGAAATTTTAGTTTGAACACTAATGATTCCTTGGAGTTAAAGCAATCTATTTGCGATAATTTTTAAAAATAATATATGTTTATGTACGTATGCATGTAAAGTTTAAAAATTTGATACTGCGACATCCAACATAAACAAGATGTGTTACTAATCGAGCTGATCAAGCATTTCACTTCAATTTGTTTAGGAGAAATAGCATCTTAGCTAGGGGTTGATTAAGGAACAAGTTATATACACTTCAAATCAAATCAAATCATATTCCAAATTATGAACAAGTTAATGATGGGAGTTTTGTATAAAAATAACCTAATGAATTTTGGGGGATCTATAAAAGAATTGTTGATTTGAGGATTAAATTTCAAAACTTCATTGATGGAAATATTTTGATTTGAGAATAAAAATGACAACAATCTGTTATTGAATCTTTGTTAGTTAGTTAATGGTATCCAAAGTTATTGGTAAAATGGCTAAATATAGATGCTTAATTAATCGATGTTTTTAATCACAGTGCAAAATTATGGAACCCTAGGTAGCTAAAATTGATCTTCTTTGTCTTCTACCTAACATGCACAATCCTCTTGTCTGCCATAAATGGCCAATAATTTCGAGTTGTAGCACCCAGTTAATAATATATAGAAATTTTTAATTTTTAATAATTCTAAGTAAAAAAAAAAAAAAAAAGAAGCTAGTCACCCATCGAATTATTTATTGAATCTATTGAATTCTAAGTAATAATATAATAATATTATATATTATTATATTTTATATTCCCCAAGTAGTGAAAACAGTTGATGTTGAACACCACGTGCAATGTATAGTACTGTAACAGAGAGTGGCCCATAATAATTTGAGGCCCATTTCCCGATGAGTTGGGTTGAATGTTTGGTGCCCATCACACAGTTAACACAGCCTCGGGTTAGCCAGATTTTTTCACCCACCTCCCCCCATGGGTGGCTGTAGCTAACAAAAATGGTCCAATGCTCTCTCGTCAACACTTAAGTTACAAAGACAAAAGGGCTATATATATATATATATTTATGTATATATTCTTGCTTTCTTTAATTCCATGGCTAGTTTTCTCCATGAAATTGATGTGATACAATTTGATAATGTTAGAAGATAAGCCATGCAAAATGTTAGTAGTATTATGTTTATAAATGAAAAAAAAAAGATGTTACACAACAAATTTCATATAGAATTTTTTGATTTTTTTTTCTTATTCTTTCTATGACTTTATCCATTGAAAAACCTCTAGAATTTTGGCACAGTCAGCCAGAAATCTGAATCTGATGATAAGAAGAAAAAACGAATTAAGAAAAGGATAAGATCAAAACAAACAAAACAGGGGAAAAAAAGTCTTTTTCTAGGTATATTGAATCCAGCTCTGCATCACAACAAGGTCAACCACTCAAAACAAAAGGGAAAGCTTAGAGGTGCTTTAATGGCAGCTAGAGTCATGATGTTGTAAAGCACTAAAAATTCTTTAAAATAAAGCAAAAACCCACTTCAAAGAGTTCAGTTTTAACAACCCTAATCTGCACTTTCTATGCCCTTAGCTATAAATGCATGCTGGGACTACTTCTCTCATAAAAGAAGCAATAATCTGATCATACTAGTACAGAAAACTTAACTAGGTTGCCTATTAAGAGAACCGGTTTTATTACTTTGCTTGGGAACAGCCTCACATGTTGGGGCCAACATGTTTCTGCTGTTTTGATTTTTTTTTTTTTTGTTGGTTCTGATTAGGACTTCACTTCCCTTTGTGTGTTTACGGTACACACAGTTCTGATCACGGGAAGCACTCTTATCATATGGACCCTCCATCACATGGTTTAACTTTAGAATCATGGCCTGAAATTGAGTTTTCTTCTACTTTTAATTCCTTCTTTTTTAGACTTTTTTTTTATTTTTTTGGAATATGGGGAAGCCAATTTGAATTCAAACTTCATACTGGATATGCATGTGTGAAGCTCATCTGGGTATGCCAAAAGCTGATCCCATTTTTCTTCAACCAATCTGAAGAATCCAAAATTGGTGAATGGGATTCATGAGGTTCAAACAATCCAAAATTTGCCTAACTTGCCAACTTTGTCGACGAATTTTGTCAATTTGACAAGTTTTCTCTTTAAAAAATGAACATGCACCAGCTTTATATTGATACAAAATGCTGGATACTCTAATTAGTTTTTCTTAAATTTTCCTGAAGTTATCAAATGAACATTTTTTTTAATCTAAAAATACTCTACATCACCATATCCATATCACCCTTTTTTCACAGTCAAAAAGTAATTAACGCAGATGGAAAAAAGGTTGGGAATTATTTCTCAATTCTTATGATGAGTTTCCCTACCACATGCAAATTTTCAAATTAATTAAGGTGCAAGTATTTGACATTTGTCATGATGGGTAAGGAGGCTTTGCCACGTAACTGATCCAAACATCACACTAATAAGCGGGTTAAGTTACTTGTGATTTATGCTACGACGTCCAATCCAAAGGACGCTATAATTTAATAAAATTTTCTATCAATCGTCCCAATGAAATATCATTATATCAGTCTCATTAGCTTCATTGACAGATAAAATTTTCAACTACGTTGGTCCCATGAGGATACTCTTTTACTAGCTGTCGGCTCCTTCATAAACCAGGATTTCTCTGCCTTGTATTCACATTATCTGATTGTTGAAGCTAGAAGCATACATGATTTGAAGTGAAGTTTGGAGTCATGGTTAACAGGATGTCTATTATTATCTTAACAAGTACCGATAGGCATTCATCAAAAACTTTTATTAATGGTTTAAGTCTTAACTCTTTTCTTCATTCCTGTTTACAAATGGGTTCGCTTTCAGGAGTAGCATTTTGTTTCATTTTGCCAAATTGAAAGAAAATGACAAGGGTTTTTGAACATGGCTAGTGGGAAGGGAACCCTAGACATGATCTCAACTGGCCCCAATTGCAAAGGATTTGAAAAGGAATGGCAAACATCAAAAACAACCATGAAGGATCCGGGTTGTGTCATTTTGTTCTTAGCAATGTGCAATTGTCCGTGGTAATGCCAGCAGACCACATGAAATATGGTCCCCAAGGATAGGCCTAACTTTACCATAGGGGATAGACCATAGTAAAATTTTCAGTGGCCACGGAAATTGGGCCAGCCGACCAGGAGGCTTTCTCATTTTAAAAAGTGTGGAGCTGTGAGCCTCACCCCACCCACATGGGATCCAATTTGGGTTCATAAATTGGATATGTATCACAATCGACAACTACAGTACTGACGTGAACCCTGCATCCTAATCTTTGCACCAGATTACATGCGTAGGTTATTTGCTTGTACTTTCTACACACGAAACGCAGAGGAGCTATCTTGGTATTGAGCTTTGGCGGTACTATAAGCACATAAAATTTTGAACACGACTCATCACTTTTAAAAAAAATATTTATTTAACCGAACATTTGATAATTTTACGTTTCTTTCAATTAAAAGAGGAGTTGGGTTTTGAATATTGCTTCTTTTAATAACTTGCAAATGGAAAAATCTTAATGATAGTCTCTGAATATAAGGTAAAAAAATGATCAAATTATGATGTGAATATGGGATGAAACCATTGAGGAATATGATGGGAATGTGAAGAATGGAGAAAGAGCCTTAGAGGTGGTAGAAAGAAACCTTTTTCTTTGAGTAGCCAAGTTGGAGGGCATATGGGTGACGAGGTGATGTGTTAAGACTTACTATCACTCACTCTTTTCTGTTATTCTGTGGCAGTGGTGGTGAATTGAGATAAGAATCTTTTCACCAAAGTCCTTTTAATCTTGGATGGGGACTCATCCCCCACTATCCGCCACCAACCCTACATCATCTACGACTACCCTCCTGCGCAAAAGTACATCATCAACATGTCCAGTCGTTCCAAGGACGTCTATCATCAGTACTTGGAAGATATTTCCTCGTTTTTTGTCCTCAACTTCTCTTAATTAGGATCACGATTTCTTGCTTTTTTCTCATAGGACAAGCATTTCAAACCGCAGTCCAGGCAATCTTGGGCGAAGACCGGTAGTAAACCTTGTTTGTGAGGGATCAAGACACCATTTAATAATCCAGATTCAGCCCACGTAGTAATCCAAAGAAGTAAATTAGGAGCTTAAAAGCCAATGAAAACACATTTTTCAGGCCCACCAAGCAGGGTTCATGCATGGCCATTTTACAAAAAACAAGCCCCTAAAAGTGGGCAGACGATGAGCCTTGCATTCGTAGGAAGATTACACTGTCCAGATATCTCAAGACCCACACATACTAAAAATGCAGTCCAACAAAATTCAATTCGATCCACGTAACATAGAAGGAAGAAATTTGGTTTCAAGATTTTACACTTCCACCATCATAAACAAATTGCATAATACAGACGAAATTGACAACTTTCAACCATAGTTTCCACAAATTCACATCTATACAGCATCTAGTTTCCAACCTCATTTACCGTGGAAATTTACTAAATCAATGTCATTCAGCATCTACCCAACACAAATCTAATCTCACCTCTTCACACTAGGACCCGCAATTGTCTTTGAGCACCCAACTGCACCCTGTTCAATAGACTTCGAACCACTTTTCCTCAGCTTACCTGGAAATTCTTTACTCGACTTACCCTTCGTGAAGAGATTTTTCTTCATGAGACTCCGGTTAAGCAATAACATAGTATTACGTGGGGGTGCATGCAAAGCACCATCAACACAATCTCCCACTTGTGCACAGCCCCAAGGCCTTGATGGCCCATCCTCAGAAAATGGTCTAAGCCATGGAAAACCATTCCTAAACCTAGAGAAGACTCGGTTCTCTGGAGAATTTTCCTCTTCCAGTTTGACACACATAGGACAAGGAGGGTCACTTTTACTAGTCTTTGGTGTTGTCTGCTCCAAACATTCAGCATGGAAAACATGTCGACATGAAAGAACCCCAGCAACAGGCATATCACTACTTCTTACAATCCTACGAGAACTCCAAGGTGACCTCTGTGAAAGAAATCTCTCGCACAATCCACATTTAAAACCATCAGACAGGACACATGATCGGCCAAAAATCTCAGATTCAAATGGCTCAGAAACATCCACAAAATCATTGCTGCTGCTAGCACTGCTCCAGCGATGGGCATCTCGCTGTGGTGTGGCAGCATCATCTGAAAACCCAGCAACTGTAGAGTCCGAGGCTTCTGTAGTAGTAGTTCCCATGGGAAAGGACAAGGGATGAATAGGTTTGGACATAAAGTAACGCCGATTTGAAAGGTTGCGATGAGATGAAAAACATAGTGGCTTGACCATGGGCTCAGACTCGCTACTGTCAGAATGGGATGAGTTGAAGACCCCACTATCTGCATTTGTTGAAGTCCTCTGCAAAATTCCATCAAAATAAGGAAGTAAGGAACATAAATTCTATGGAAAAACTTTTTAAACAGCAGTGTGAAGATGAGAATAAGGTACCTCAACAATAGAAGCAAAGGGTAATTGCCCGACAACACAATCTAACAAGGAAAAGAAGGCAATAAGTTGTTTCAGTCAAAGCAAAGAGAAATAATTCAAACTTTTATCAAGTATAAGATGTCTCAGAATTCTATTTTCTCAGTAACATATTAGCTAACCATAGCGTCCAACCTAGATATAGTAGCTAAAAGAACTGCCTTAAGACGTTTTTATGCAGACCACCTAAGATATTATACTGTATCCAGTTGCCATATAGGTTCAATTTTGCCTAGAAATTGGCCAAATACATCTAGAAAGAAAATCGGCAAAGAAAATTCTAGTTCAATAATTCTAACTTCAACACAGACAAGATATATCTATAGTATATTATAGGATCCCAAATGATGACAGACAACCCAAATAAACAACTAGCTATGAGAATCACCCAATTCCCAAGCACTATCAGACAACATTTCGAGCAAAGCAAAATGAAAATAAACACTTTACCAATCAAGGTGGAACTGAGAATAAAGATAAGACAACATCCAAACAGGTTAACAATCAAAGTGACATTCTTAAGCATTAAATGTATTACCTCTTCTCATTGCAGTTTCATAATCATCAAGAGTGATTTCTTGTATTGCTGGAGGTGTCTGCTGTGGACCCTGAGAAAGTTCAGATGGACTACTTAAAAAGGGACCAGCACCATCAGATGTAGAATATTGATGATTGTAAAGAAGGTTTCCTCTCACCCAGGCCCTACTTTCTTTGCTGTTTGAAGATGTAGAAGACCCATACAACTGAATCCCATCATGTGAACAATACGACAGTCCCTCGGGTTGAAAACGGAAATCCCATCTTGAAGGAGGTGGCGAGAAACTTGTATTAGTTCGCCAATAAGGCTCATGATGACCCATGGACCAGTCTCTACTGGCTGTATTTGACCCATGTGGCCTTGCAGCCACACAACAGAGCGACCCCGTCTTAGCTATTTTCTGTACACCTCACAAATACTAACTCAACAAGCTTTCAACTTTTGCAAAGCTTGCCACCAAATAACTCTGCTAATTACAACATCCTCAACATATTCTAAGTTCTCCGCAACTATTTTGACATTAAAATCCAATCTTCAATAAATAAAAAGATCATAGAACACACCAATTTTATAGGTAAAGCATATTAAGAACCGGCTTTTCCTCGTGCCAGCATGATAAATCCCCTTACCATCTCCCTTCAAAAGGCACTAGCATCAAAACAGAAACCTGGCAGGAAAGGTAAAACAAGTCAATCATATGTAAGAATCATCATCTCATTTTTCAAACATTCAATACCCGACTTTCTTACAGCAACTCTAAAACGGAAATGGCAGCAATAAATTTTAATAATTTCACAAAAATTAAGCAAAATTATTATATCCGATAACCAAAATCAAAACTTTTTTTTCCCCAAATGTTAACCTGACATAAAGTCATAGATTTAACAATCAAACAGCCGAAAAATGCAATATTTGTTTTCAAAATTTCTTAGAAAAAGAAAAAAAATATAAATAAGTCACTAAGAACAACTTATAAAAGATAGTTCAAATAACTATAAAGGACAGTTCAGCTGTGATTATGGAAAGTAATTAAAACCAACATTTGAATTAATTGACAATTAATGATAAAATATTAAAATGAGAAAACATAGAGAAAGAAAGAAAGTGAGTGTGAAACTTACGATTTGAAGGAGAAGAATGCAATCGGGAGGAAATGCCGGGGATTTTAGAAAATGGAAACAACCCTAATTTATCGGCGAAACTGAGATCAATTTAATTTTTTTTTGCAAATTAGGACCTTAATTTTTGTGTATTTCTAAAATTAACCCGCGAGTTTTTCTTTTCCTTTAAAGGTCGATATGCATAAGTTTTTTTTATAACTTTATTAAAGTTCTATTGTATTCACATACAACAAAGATTTTTGTTATAGGACCATATCTTTTTAAAATTATTATAGATTGTTTTTTTTTTTTAGATAATTATAGATTGATTTATTAGTTCAATACCATTTACTATAAATTAAATGTGCTAGCAATTTATGGTATGGTATTAAAAGGAAAACACAAATTGAGGATAAAATATATAAGATTTGTAAATGTTCATATTTGGATTTCAAACATATTATATACTATATGATTATATGAATTAATTAAATTAAAATTTGAATTTATTGTACATATTTTTGGTGATATGACTCAAATTTTATATCAAGATATTCTGAAAATCTATTATAATATATAAGTTAAAAAATTAAACTAAAATTTATAAATAATTTTTTGTGAGATAAAATTGTAAAATCTTTGAGTCAAAATGAATAATATCTCATAAGTTGACTGTGAATCTTTACAAATAGTATCTTTCTCCTCTAAAATTTTGGTTTTATATGTGTTTTATATTGAATTTAACAATAAAAATTTATGACATTTCAATCTCACATGAAAATATTATGAGGATATGTTATAATAAATAAGTTAAAATTTAAATATAAATTTATGAGATATTTTTTGTGAAATAAAATCGTGAGATTTTCAAATTAAAAGAGATAATATCTTATAAGTTAAGTGTAGGTCTTCATATTTTTTTGGTACAATAATTTCATGCTATAATGTAAAAATAGGTGTATAATTAATGATTAATGCTTATAAAATTAATCATTATAATATTATTAAATAGATAGCTCATATATTAATTCATAGGTAGTTAAAAGAGGGGTTAATATTTTAATGGTGTTAATTTGTCATTGATTATGTTCAAGCCAACAATATTAATTAGAAAGTTGAAGGCGTGACAAAACTCCAATTTTCTTTACCTTAAATGTGATTATAATATCATTATTTATATTATCTTTAGCTTAACTAAAATGTTGTTATGATTTAAAATAATAACAATAATAATACAAATCAATATAATTGAACCTGCCTACATTAAAATATATAATAATCATATTCTTTGCACAGGCTGGTTAGCAATAGCATTATTTTATTTCAATCCCTTTTGCAAAATGCTCCCGCATGCTTTGTCTACTAACTTTGCCCCAAAATTTTCCCTTTGTGAAAATGCCTCCTGCAAGACAAGCATTGGAATTTTTCTTTTTCTATATATTTTGAATACGTGGGATATTGAATTTTTCTTATTAAAATTATAAGTGATAACAGTCTAAATTGGATTTGGTTCTATATTTTTTGAATAATAGATAGTATTATAAATTTTAAAAATTTGATTTGAATTTAAACTTTTTTTTTTTTTGAAATCGATTTGATCTAAACCGAATTTTGTTAGTTTAATTCGGTTTAATTCATCGATTTTTGATTTTTTTTTTTTTATATGTTATTTTAATAAAATTTTTAATATATTTAAATAAATTTTTATATATAATAATTATTTTTATTTTATAAAAAATTGAAATATATAAAAAATAATAAAAATATATATTTCAATTTGGTTTGATTTTTTTTTTTCAGTTTTTCATATATTGATTCAAAATCTGATTTATATTTAATATATACATTTTAATATCCAATCTTAATTCAAATTGAATAAAAAAAAAATCAATCCGAACTGAATCAAATACTACAATTTTGAATCAAGTTTTGATTTTTTTCTCACTCTTAATTAAAATTAAGAATCCAATTATTTACTGTCAGACCGATAACAAATAATGAAATCTTGGATTGATTTTTTTCTCACTCATTATATTTTTGCAGTTTTTATTAAAGGAATACATGAACCCTTTAACAAGTCTCGGCGTTTGTCCTGCTCAAGGACAGGAGGAGGCATAAAGACTTGTAAGAACAGAGGCTAAAAGCTTAAAACAACCCAATCTTTTGAAATTAAAGTTGATAAGCAATTTAGATTAAGACCAATTACATTCTGCAATTTATGTTGAAGTTGCTGATAATTAGCAAGCATAATAACTTGATTGATAAACTTCTGGTTTTAATTGCAAGCTAAGCTACATCATAAACACGTGGACTTCTTAATGAGCATGGAGGAGCATTGTACAAGAAGGCCATGCTTAGTTCCAAACTTGGAAAACCTGCTGTAGATATATGCTTCTCGGTTTCTCTGGTAAGGTGACATATCCATAGGCAACTGCCTATTGAAAAGGATCAAGAACACTCTGCCAGAACTTTAGAAGTGTTCCATCGATCTGCTATTCCATCACGACAACAGCAATTAAAACAAGAATGACAAAGCATGTCCAACTACATATGCTGTATTTGTATGTCAAGAGATTCAGCTTAATACCTTTGGCCGCCACGTGCTCGACAAACAGGAAAAGCCCTCCTGGTTTCAGTGCTCGACAAAAGGATAGAATTCCTGATAGAAATGAGCTAAGTAAATATTTTTCATTGAATACCTGCTAGAGAAATTCATACCGACAAAGCTTAGATGAAGACAAAGCCTGAAGTGCTAAACTACCTAAGTGCCATATTATCATCTTTAACAGAACATAACACAAGTGTTCCAACAACTGCATCAACAGAAGCATCATCAAATGGAACAGCCTATGCAACCTGGATAAGTGTAACAGCCCCAAAATTCAGAAACAGAACAACAGAACAAATTTTTTTTGTTCTTAAACAAAGAAGCATAATAATTGTGAAGAAAGTAAAAACAAACTTGAAATTTTCTTTCAATAGAATATTGATCCAAAATCTGGTATTATAAAAAGGGGATTGAGAAAGGGTTTTTGTCTTCCTAGGCAGCAGATATAGCAATCATCATAAAAAGAATTTCAGGAACAAGTCGGACATGGAACCAACTGCTGCTGTTGCTGCTGCCCGAGCACACTTCTCCATCTTCTTGTTAGGATCCACACCAAAAACTCGGACCTCAATATTATTAGATATAGTATTCAAGATTAGGGCCTGCGCCAATGCCAATCTCCAGCACCTTTTAAGCCTTTCCCCTTTCAGAAAAATCTGTGACTCGTAACCTGCAATCTTGAGTTTTTGACGTATAACAAAAGAAGCCATAACTCATAACACATTCCATTAAAAATTCTAAAGATGAAGACTTACCAATTCAATCTTTAAAACAAAACAGCATCAACTGACTAATTACCTCTGCCTCATAAGATTTCATGCTTGTGTCCATAACAGAGGCATAGAACTCCTCCTACCAATCCGGCATTGGAGGGTGAATCTTGTTCAGCAAATCCTGCACATTAAAATTTTCCCTGTTAAACACCCTAAAACAAAAGTCTCTAGCAGTCCATCATGTTTTATAAATTCTGTACTTACCTACGCAAAGCGAACTAAAGAATTGACCAATTGTATCTGTTTTCGTAGAGATGAAGACAAGTGCCAACTACCAAGTAATCATCAGAGTGTAAGCTGGAGGCATTGGAGGCACAAATTGGAAGAAAAGAAGCTTTGACAGCTTCAATATAGTGCCTTCTTCCACAGGTGCAAAATCTGGGGACGGGTATTAATGGCTGTTTGTTGGGAACTGCAGCAACTGAGCTGTTCTTTTGGGTATTTTCCAAGGATGCAAGAGACTGAAGCTATGCATGGAGGAGAAGAACCATTTTTAACATTTTTTTTAATGTTTTGGTGTCAGTGACAATATTTTCAGTTGGGAGTTACAGTTAAAAAGTTGCTAAGCTTAGCATTTATTTCATCCCCTACTCTACCTCAAAAATTCTTAAGATATTTACATTTGAAACTAAATTTAAATTTTAATATTGAATTGACACAATTTCGTGAACGGATTTTTATATTTACCCTTTGGACGGATCTTTAGTTTGAGTTTGTTTAACCACTTTGCATCGGAATTGGACAATAAAAGTCAACAAACATATTAGTTCTGACGGTACCGTTTTAAAGATTCGGTCGAGAAAAGTATCTGTCGGCACGTGAACGTGTCCAACCCCAAAAAGTAAAAATAAAAAATAAAAAAAATCCACCAACCAAAGATATTTTCCCAAAGAAACCTCGCCGCCGAGTGGCCCGAGTCTGTTACTCTATATCCCGTAACAGAAACAAAAATCCCCAACGTTTCCCCGTTTCAATTCGTCCGTTCCTATCATTCTCCGTATTTTTCCTTTCCTTCTTTAATTTTAAATTATTACTTGTTCGTTGAATTTTTTGATGTCTGATTATTGTTATTATTATTGTTATTACTTATCGTATAATTAAATTTATGGTTTAAGTTTTTAAGACTCTAAGTCGGTGTAGGAAACTGGTCAAATTTTGTTTTTTTTTTAATAATTTTTTTTTATTTTTTGATTTGTTGCAGGTAATTTAAGTTGTTGCTGTTATGGCTGGTCAAAGAAATGATTATGGTAAAAGATCTCATTTTCAATCTGATTATGTCGGGAACGGTGGAGGAGGAGGCGGCGGCGGCGGAGGAGGAGGAGGAGGTGGTGGAGGAGGAGGAGGAGGGAAAAGAAGGAATGCCGGTGAGGAAAGTGAACAGCATGGGATTGGCTCCGAAGATACAGTTTACCGTTATTTATGTCATGTCAAAAGGATTGGGAGTATTATAGGGAGAGGTGGTGAGATTGTGAAACATTTAAGGTCAGATAGTAAGTCAAACATTAGGATTAGTGAAGCTATGGCGGGTTGCGAGGAGAGGGTTGTTATGATTTATAGTTCCAGTGAGGAGACCAATCCGTTTGGTGATGATGGTGATGACCTTGTTTCGCCTGCTCAGGATGCTTTGTTCAGGGTACACGATAGGGTTGTTGCTGAAGAGTTGCCGGCTGATGAGGATTTTGATGAGCAAACACAAGTGGTTACTGTGAGGATGCTTGTGGCGTCTGATCAGATTGGTTGTGTTATTGGGAAAGGCGGTCAAGTGATTCAGAATATAAGGAGCGAAACGCATGCTCAGGTTCGGGTTTTAAGTAATGAGCATTTGCCTCCGTGTGCTTTGAGCTCTGATGAGCTTCTTCAGGTAAAATTGTTTTGTTATGTGAAAAGATATGCCATGTATTATGCCCTTGTATTAATACATAGGAGAAAAAATTGAAACTTCTTTATGAGTAAATGAAACATCTGGAAGCTCTTTCGTAGAGTGTTGCAAAGTTGGGAGGAAATTGTATGAATTAGTGTCTTTGGTGACACTTTGCACCCACAATTTCAACTTTTCCTCTCATAAATGGGGAGAATTTTTTATTCCAAAGTTTTAGGGTCTTCTGTTTTACATGGTGGGATTTGAAGATCTATTGATTGATCTCCATGAGGCTTCTAACCAAGTAGTTTTTACATGTGTCCTCATGGTGTATGTTGATGTCATTAAACGTACATGTGTGAGTTGCCTGCATATTAGGGGATTTTCATTCATCTTTTGATTCCTTCTTATGTAGTCATTAATTTCTATGTGAGAATTTCAGATAATTGGAGAGCCCTCGGCAGTGAGGAAGGCTCTTTATCATGTGGCATCCCGTATACATGACAATCCTTCAAGATCCCAGCATCTGCTTCTCTCCTCTCTATCCCACATGAATCAACCTGGCGGGATGTACATGAATGCTCCTGTTATTGGTTCTTATGGAAACTACTCCTCTAGAAGAGATGATGCTTCTGCAAGGGAATTTTCTCTTCGATTGGTATGCCCAGTTGGAAATATTGGAGGTGTGATTGGAAAAGGTGGTGGTATTATCAAACAGATTAGACAGGAGTCTGGGGCATCTATTAAAGTTGATAGCTCTGGAGCTGAAGGAGATGACTGCATTATATTCCTATCAACAAAGGAGGTAAGAATACGTTCATTTTTAAAATTATGCACAGTATCATTGTGGAATTTATGATGGAGAAGCTTAGATGTCATGCCGAATTATTTATATCTCTGTAGTTTTTCGAAGATCCATCCCCTACCATCAATGCTGCTTTGCGCCTGCAATCACGATGCAGTGAAAAAACAGAAAGAGAATCGGGTGATTCTGTGATCACCACCCGTCTACTTGTGCCAAGCTCACAGGTTGGTTGCCTTATTGGTAAAGGTGGGGCAATAATATCTGAGATGAGGAATGCTACTAGGGCTAGTATTCGCATACTTTCAAAGGAAAACCTTCCCAAAGTTGCATATGAAGATGAAGAGATGGTGCAGGTGAATAAGTATATTCTTTGGTGTACGCATGCACACTCCCTTTTATTGTTCACTGAATATCTTGGTCATAACTTTTAATATGATGGAAATTTTATCCTTTAATGCTTTACAGATTACTGGAGGTCTTGATGTTGCTAGCAATGCCTTTTCACAAGTAATGTTGCGGTTGAGAGCCAATATATTTGAAAGAGATGGAGTAGCGGCCGCGTTTTTGCCTGTCCTTCCTTACATTCCTATGTCATTAGACATGTCAGATGGTTCCAAATATGGGAACAAAGATGGTCAACCACGTAATCGTGGATACTCTTCTTACTCAGGGGGATATAGCTCTGGTGATATGTTTGCAAGTGACAGTTATGGAAATTATAGTGGTTCACTTGTAAGGATGCCTTTTCATTCATTTACTCTTTTAACATTTCCTCGCAAAGATGCATACACTGATTATTATTGGGATTCATTTGGTTATTTTGGCTGGGTGCTTTTAAAGTGCAGTATCTACATGTAAGAATGATCCATCCATTGCATATTTCTGATGGCCTGCATGCATAATTTCTATCTAACCTGTTATTGTCCTTCCTCTGAATATTTTATGTTCCTCTGAATATTTTATGTTATCATTTTTCAGAGTGGAGGTGACATCTATGGATCTCATGGTGGTCGCAATTCTGGCCGGGGGTAATGTTTACCTAGCAAGTTAGACATTTTTGGTCACCTTTGATTGTTTGTTAGTATCAGTTGTAACTACCTGGCCTGATTTTTGGCTTCTGTGACCAGGTTATCCAATCAAAACCAAGTTTCGAATAGGAAGCATGGATATTAGTCCCAGATTCTAGATTCTGCAGGTAAATATGTGTCTCATTTCATTTACATTTACATTTGCATACTTTGAGTATTGATAAGCAAATTCTTTTGATACTTTTGAGTGAGGAAGATATGCAGAATGATATCTTAAACCCTGCCAACCATCCTCTGCCAAAGATTCTAATGCACCTTCCCCGCTTGTTGCCTTTTCTCCCCTATCTAATTAGTTGTCATCAACAAATGTAGAAGACAGACCTTTTCCCCTTTCGATGAAGCCAGCCTAGATCAGAAGACCAGACAAGTTGGGTTTGAGAAACTTATGCTCCACTTTGGCCATCCCTTGCGCTTGTCCTGGGTGACCAAGATCATTTGATGATGCAAATCACCATTTAATCTTTTACAGCCTGGAATTCATGATTTTCAGTCTCTGTATCGTGTTCAAATAATTTGCTTTCCCTGTAAACCCTTACATTCGAAGCCTTGAGTTGTGGCACTTTGGCTCGTGAATTGATTTTTATGTTTTATAGTGGAATTAAGGTAACATCTGCTTGCTTAGGCTTTTTCATGTATTCATATAGTTTGAGAGCTGCATCAAGAGGAAAGTTTAGTTTGCCTTAATCCTCAGTGTAATGTAAATGTAGCATTACCTATTCTGGTTTCTTGATAACTTTTACATGTAGCTCAAATGGCTGGTGTATTTTTCTTCTCTTGAAGAAGAGAGGCCATGTGTCCTTTGAATGAATTGCTTTAAAAAATTATTTCTTAGTTGCATGATCTGAGATTTGAGCTTGCATAAAATGAGTTGGAAGTGATATAAGAGTGTTCTGAACTAGCAAACAATTAAAGTTAGAAATATTTGATTATGGTATGTGTTAAGGTTAATCTTTGGAGGCTGTGTTGTAAAGAGAAAGCTAGAGAGGGGGATAAGGTTAAACTGAAATGGAACAAATCGAAGGGGTTGGTTAATTCTTGGTATTGCTTCCTAATTCTCTATTTCGTTTTGCTGTAAGCAACTTTTAGTTCATTGTGTTACATTGGAAGGTGGTTTAGATAATTGACTTCCTCTGGCATTAGGAGCAGGTAAGCAACAGGTAAGTGACTCGTGTAATCAAATTCAATCTGATTGCGCTTGTGATACAACACGAGATAGGCATGCACTTGTACGAATATTTAGTTTACTATTATTGATAACGGAAATAGCCAGTCTTTCTTTTTTTTTTTTTAACTCGAGGTTCATCAAAACGCCACTTAATCTGAAAACTGAACCAAGCTCTTTCTGTTTCATGTCACATGCAAGTCTTGAATCTGATCCTCTGTCGCAGTGTTATTGTTATTGTTGTTCCCATCCAATGTGCAGCTTTGATCCTCGAAAGATGAAACTGTGATAAACAAAAAAGGAAAATACATTAATTGGATCTAGTATGAGAGTTGAAAATTTAAGAATCGAATTGTTTCCCAAACATCGTTGGTAAAGTTTAAAATCTCCATCAAAATGATTAATCACTTAATATGATAACTTCAAAAGCATATGTGATGGTGCTCTTTGAAATTAGAATCGATCCTCTTTACCTTCACTATCATCTGCTGCAGGTGCATAAACTGAGCGTCGCATTTGCTGGTGTGGGGTGGGCTGGAATCACAGAACAAACTATAAGTACCTACTAAAGTCAACAAATACTGAAGCCTAGACACAATCTCAGGTTAATAGTTGTGTATATTGGACATGACAGGTTTTCTATGTGTGGTCTATTAGCTTGAAAGCAGAGAAGATCATATCAAAACCTGTAGCTTTGGGCGCAATGCTTCAAGCGGTCCTTTAGGCTTTTGTGCTCCTTGCTTTTGAAGATGTGATCAACAACACATTAACATTTAAACTAAAATTTTCCATTCAAGATCAAAGGCCAAAACAATTTGGATTCGGAGTTACGGAGAAATTCAAAGAAATTCAAAGCAGGAAAGTACTACTACCTTTCCTAATGCCCAATCCGCAGAATCAAAAAATGCATGTTCATGATCCTAGCAGAGAGGGAATTCAAGTGTTTTTGTCAGCAACCTCCAATTAATAAATACAGGAGAAAAAAAATATGATAGGAGTCAAAGCTTAAAAAACCTTGGATATTAAAGGCGGTTTTTTAGGCAATAGTCCTCCATACTTTTTCTTGATTGCTTCTTCCTGTTAAAGGTCAAAACAAAATGAAAGTTCACTATTTGAAATAATTATGACCATGCAAAAGTCAGCATCATACATAAAAATTTTACCTCCTCGTTGGCTGATGGCATGGGACAATTTTTATTTTCATCTGAATCTTTCACCTCTTCTGCCATAGTACCTTCTTCAACATAAATTTGATTTTTATCATCCTCAACTTGAATCTTTTCACTGTCATCCACCATCTCCTTCTCCTTCACATCCTCACAATTATTTGTTTGTGACATTTTTGCTATTCTTTTGTAGCTGTCACAGTAAAAACAAAGATTCCATATGAGTTAGAGTTGAAGGTCAGACTGAAACCGAAGTCTCACTTCTGATCATCAATCAATACTGGAGCATGAATTAGGAACTGAATTTGGTGAAGGGATCAAAAGATGAACTAAATCCTATTATATTTCAAGCATATCTGACAGCTTTATTATACTTTAAAGCAAACAAGACCCAGGTTATAAATTTTAACAAACAAATAATTGGCTCTGTTTCTTTGCTCAAATATTTAATAGAGAATCGGGAAGAAAACATTGCTGCTAACCAAAAAAAAAAACCCACAAAGATGTCTGGTAAAAGTATAAATGATTACCTGATGAAAGATCTGATAGGAAAGCTTGATGGAGGAGTGAAGGGTTCGATTGAAACTGGCCTTACCGACTTCAGTCTCCTAACTATATCATCAGCGTGAAGCCTGAAAAATACGCATGGAACATTTCTTTCATGGTGGGGTAGGGTCTGTCTTGGGCTAGGTACTTGCCTGGGATTGGGTTAGAATCTGAGCTGTTTTGGAACATGGGCCTAATTTCTGTTGATTGATCAGTAGTTATTACCATTTTAGTTTCTTGGGTATTGTTTTTCTTGTCTGATCTGTGTTTGAGCGTGATTAATTTTATGAAAACTGAAAATTTCTAATCTATGATCGTCAAGCTTGTGGGAAAATCTCTGATCAATATTAGTCATTTTGCACATGTAATGTGTATTTTTCTTTTGGTATGAACTGTCAATGTGAATGTTTTGTACTTGAATTTAAAGTATCAGCTGAAGTGCCCAAGACATTGAATTTGAAAACTTTGGCAAACTGGGGATTACTACTGCAAGTTGAATTTCAAGGGAATTTCAAGGGATGAGGAGATGTATTGCTGGAGGAAATCTTGTAATAGAAATGCAAGTGGGCGTCATGTGCAGGAAAAAAGAGATGGGTGGTGTGGGTGATTTCAGAGAAATATATGTTATCTGTTCCATTAGGATTTTAGGATTGAAATTGGTTGACAAACTCCATCCTCAGCCCATGTCACCCCCATAACCACCATATTCATAGATCACGAGGTCCCCAATAGACCATTGTCCCTTTCCTATTACATCATAACCAGAATCAATCTCTCCCTTCCTTAATAATCTCATCCATCTGCAAATTGTGGATCAGCTCCTAATCCCTTATCCTGAACTCCAACTTGGAAAGTGATAAGGTTTTGTTTCCAAACCAACCTCAAAAAACTAGTTGAGGGTGTGACTAGGATTGCAGGTTGCTGATTGCAAAAAATTCTATCTTGTAAATCAAACAAAATCATCAGAAACATAAATATTTGAACCCCAAAGGTACTCACAAGTCACAAATATAAATAGGCTGTATATGGGGCAAGGGCAACTCGGCAATAAGCTATTCTGAGCTTATTGGGTGATTGAAAGTAACTTTTTAGGGCTTCAGTTTGCTAACTTCAGGACCCATGCAGTTGTCATATTCACTCCCTCAAGGCCTTCACGTATATATGTTAGCCTCATTCCTGGTTATATGGCACCCAGTACTGTTTTTCAAACTCCCTCTCTGCTAAATACATCATCAAACCTCCATTTGCATAGTCCTCAAATTAACAACAAGCCTTCTTATGGGAACATTACTGTTTTTTTCAGCAGACCAAAGCTAAAACATGCTATGCTACATTCTAGTCCTCCTTTTAGTTCCAAAAGTTCACTCCTAGATTCATTCAATTCTTTGATTTCTCTTTTTACTAGGTATAGTAAAAAAGAGAAGTTGTATATACATTGCTGGATCAGCGTCGGCTTTCTTCATCTAAGGTCTATCATGTGGAAATGAGGTAAAGTAGTGCAGCCAAGGATGACTTGCCGGCTAGGTTTTCCCTTCCATGTATCATATAGCTTATTTTCAGATATTAGATTTATAGACACATGACAATTTTTTCTTTTCTGAGACATCTGGATTGATGTGTCAAATACTCTTTTATCATCAAACTGTTATGTTAATTTTATCATCAAACTGTTCATTGGAAGCTAAGTAATTAACACATAAATGAAGCAAACTTTTGGTGGAGATAACCGGCAAGTTATCTTTGGCTACGATTCTGTCTCATTTTCACATATTAGATCTATGCTGACAATAAAACTGGAAATGCTGAAGATGGAGCACCTCCACATGACAGTAATGGAGGAGGTTTAACCCATATGTGGCAGGATCGAATTGCTTTATGAGGTAAGTTCCCATCCTGGTCTATATCATCTAGATATGTATAACATTTCATTCGTTTAGCATGTTTAAATGTTAGTATTGTACGAGACAGTTGCCTTGTGATGATATTCAAGAATCCTAGTTAACCAAAAGTTTAAAGAATTAGAAGAAAATAGATTAGAGGTTAGGTTTTGCAATTTGCAAAATGTTTTCTACATATTGCATTCACAGAATCACAGGTTCCAATAATTAAACCTTGAACAGGAATTATGATCTTCATTTCCTCTGTGGAACTGCAGTTTTAGAATTCAAATCAAGGCTCAAGCTGTAGCTTGTAGGGACCTTCACCTTGTTGGGTCCTTAGGAATGAAATGGTTTCCAAGTGGATGGAAGGAAAGAGGCACGTACATAATTCAAAGAGACCAGTATTTTGCTTTAGGTAGTACAAGGACATCATTACATCAACTCAAGCCCACTCCACCTTTTTCATTTAAAGCTAATACAGCTGGGACATATCATTCTCAATCACCTTTTTGTTCTTTGTCAAGGGAACAAAACAATGCAATTAGCTAGGTTAAAGGGGTCACTGGCATGAAACAAACCTAGGATTGACAGATTTTAGCTTGCTGAATTTGGAAGCTTATGCCACAAACAGAAAGAGGTTTGTTAGAAGCATGAATGGCATGACGTTTTCCACTTGGAATGCCCTAATCATCATCTGCCAAAAATGTTTTAAAATGCTTGGGATCTCTGGAAATAATGTTAAATCTCTATGAGTTGCAGTGGCATGTCATAACTGTGATCACAAACGTTTTGGACTTGAAGTCAAAAGATGAACCCAACTAATACAGGAGACAAATGCACCTGGTTTTGAAAATTATTGTCTGACATGTTTCATACGTTGTTGGTCCAAAATTGCCTGAACGAGTTGCAGTATTGATTTTTCCAAGTTGCAGTATTGACTACTTGTACATAGGTTGTGCTGCTAAATTCAACTGGCTAGCTGTAGGCACATCTTAAACGCATAAATTGCAGTCAGATTTTTCTGTCTGATGGTACTGGGAATCAAGACCTGACAGAGGGTCCATCCCCATGTACAACCTACAGAAAATCAACAACATTATTAGGCTAAGATTTAGCCAAGTTTCTCTGTAGATGATTGTAGTCATTCAGTCATATGACATAAAAATTCATCTTCCCCACAAATCTCCTTTAGTTTAGCTTTTTAAGAGATAATAATCACCATAAACGTGAATAAATGGGAAATTTTAGGTCTCCTTGATACAGCAATATCATATCAGAGTAGTTAATAATGATGGGACTGCAAATACTATTAGACAACAACTGCTGGTGTAATCCTATCTTAATAACATTGATTAAACTAATTAAATGTGTACATCTCTCCTCCATTTGTGCAAATCACTTCTCCTTAAGCCTTAGCTAAACGAGAAAACCAGCAACTGTAGCATCCCTATGCTTCCCTTGTAGACTGTAGTTGGTGTTGGGGATCCGCAGATTAAATTGCTTGCTCTACCAAATAGGGCATGGTAGTATATAGGACTTAGAAGGAGACCTTGTTTCATATATCAGTAATGAATTAGCAAAGCGTGCTGCTCATGGTATGCCATTGTCATAATAATTTGCTTTAATCTTTCAATCACGCAAGTTTGAGGCAAGTAGGAGCAGGTGGGAATAGGATTCAAGAATTAATGATTCATCATCCTTGCTAACTTATTAAAGTGAGGATCATGCAACCTATCATAAAAATACATGCGACATGTCACAGAAGCAAATGCCAATTATGTCAAGCTCAGCAAATTAACTAATTCCTACTTTGATTGTTTTTTACTGTTGGAGTCTAACAGAAGATCCAGATTTGTTTTGGCATGGAAATTTGTATAAATGTGCACATCTTTCAGTCTGCTCTATCTGGCATTTAATTTCAGCCAAACTTGTTCTAAACCTTGGAGGTTCAAAGAAGGAAAAAAACTTTATCTGTAGAATGAAGACAGGACCACGTGAGTCTGGTGAAGCATCCAACGATGGAATCCCAGCAAAACTGATGATCAGTGGGGTTGCTATACTAGAATTCATACTGAGAATCCTTGCTGCTGCAGGAACACTAGGGAGTGCTATGGCCATAGGGACTACTAAAGAAACAGTTCCACTATTCTCTCAATCAATCCTATTAAATGCCGAATATAGTGATCTTCCTATGTTGACGTGAGTTAGAACACCATGATGTGCTCTATGTGACTATGATTCTTGAATTTAATTGCAATGTAAAAGAAAGTTACCTAATTTACTTACTTGACATGTCTATTTTTAATAGATTCTTTCTGATTGTCAATTCAGTTGCCTTTGCCTATCTTGTGCTTTCTCTTCCCCTATCTTTCTACCACATTATCAGGAGAGCAGCCAAAAACAGTCGAATCATCATAGCTTTAGTTTGGGGCATCTTGTTTGTATCTGTGCTAAAAATAGGCAAAAGCATGTCAGATGCTTCAACTAAGCTAATTAGTTGATTTGTTTCTCTGATCCTCAGAGTTGAAGATCAACTGAAAATTAGGACAACACTACTAATTTTCATTTCATAGTTTTTTACTGTTCAACTTGAACAACATAATTACTCATCGGAAGCAGCTATTCCTTAAGATGTTCAAAAAGCCGACAAAGTAAATGATCAGAGCATTTTCTTGTTTAATTTGTGAATTCAACATAGAAAGTTTTGAATTTCTACTAGGAGTGTAAAACAAGAAGTAAAATTACCATATGCGTACTTGAGGAACCTAACTGTAAATTGGAACACATGTAATCTACTGTACGGGCAATACTAGCTTTGGTCACTGCTGGAGCTTCTTCTGCTGCAGTCATTGTGTATTTAGCACACAAGGGGAATGCTAATGCCAATTGGTCTGCAATTTGCCAACAATTCAACTCCTTTTGTGAGCGCACTTCTGATCATTGATTGGCTTTTTTGCTGCAGTATTTGTGCTCATTCTGATTGTTAGGAGCATTTGATGGTCAGAAGAGTATAGTGGTATTTTCCTTTTTTAAAGCCTTCAGCAGATAACTAGAGTTATTTTTGACATGATCAGTTTCACTTTAGCTTAGCCTTGTCCTAATTGTCCTCTTATGGTCTCATTCAACTTACCTATAAATATGATGACTCAGACACTATAAAGATAGGTTCATCCTATTCATCTCTCTCTCCATCCTACTTTCTTACTTTTTTGCCGACTTAATCTTTACTGACTTGTATGTCGAAGCACAAACGTACAGAACACCCCCTGTCTTTGCCTTTAACTGTCTTCTTCTACATTAACAGGAATACCTTCAAGTCAAAGCTTGGCACCAACATTTGGCGCATCAAATAGGGGATCTCGTATTAGCCAAGCACAAAACAATGTCACCAAGAAAAAGAATCCTAAAGGAAGGAGAGATAGCTCGGCTAAAGAGGCTCAGATCTACAAAATGTCTTTATAAAGGTTAAATTCGACAAAACAGTTCGACCAAAAAGCTTGGACTCAAATCGACCAAAAGAGTTCAGATCTACAAAATACTTTCATAAATGCCCAATTCGACAAAACAGCTTAGTCAAAGAGCTCATTTTGGCCACTATGGTCAAAGAACTCATCTTGGTAAATTGCCTATATAAAAGCTTTGCTAGGCTGCCTCAGTTAAAGTGATTAACTTGATCAAAAGAGCTAACATTGGTCAAAAAAGCTCATCTCAGCCACTTTGGTCAAAAGAGCTCATCTCAATCATCTCGGTCAAAGAGCTCAGCTTGGTAAATTGCTTACATAAAGGCTTGGAGGGGCCACTTCGACCAAGTGATTCACTTGGTCAAAAGAGCTCACTTCAGTTAAAAGAGCAAATCTCGAATCACTCCCGATAATTATTACTTTGGTAACCTTTAAATTGATTATGCACTTAATCCATAACATATGCACGAGATTAGATAATCACTAGGTCAGACTGTAGCTCAAAGTTAGTCATCATACAAAACTGACCTCCCCTTGCAACGTCGGCCTTCGATGAACCAAGCTGCCAATTTATTCTTCCAGCCAATCTATCCCACACTGGGGATGTCGGTAATAAATTTGACGATACTTAGATTGCTTAATGAGGGGACAAAATGTTAAGGGCATTTGATGGTCAAAAGAGTATGGTGATTCTTTACTTTCTCAAAGCCTTAAGTAGATAATCAAGGTTATCTTTGTTATTTGTGTCGACTTGACATGATATGATTAATGCTATCTCAACTTGGCTCTATCCTAATTGTCTCTTATGGCACCCTCAACTTACATATAAATATAATAACTCAGAGATCATGAAGGCAGGTTCATCCCGTTTATCTTTCTTTACTTCCTACTTTCTCACTTTCTTTCTGACTGGATTTTTATTGACTTGCGTATCGGAGTGAAAATGCTGGGAACACCTTTTGCCTTTGGCTCTAATTGTTCTTCCCTTTTACATTTACAGAAATACTCTTAGGTCGAAGCTTAGCACCAACATTGATAATCATTTCATCAGCTATTTCTATCTCTCAATGTTGATTCCGAGCAACAGTCGAAGAGTGCATCTGTATGTATTTGCTAGTTTGAGTCTGTATTTGTCTTGCTCTTCTAGGAGCTAATTTGAGGCTTTTATTTTATTATGGCATTGTCTACTTTTCAAACTAGTTTACAAAAATCTATAAATTTCGGATCATAAGAAATAGCAGAGCAATTCTACCTCATTTTAATGACACAAAAGGACACCACTGATCTCAGTACTCTGTAGCTTCAGCCTTTCTCATATAATTGTATGAGCAACTGCAAAAGAATAAATACATGTCCTAAAAATTGAAGATTTCTTGATCACCATATATGTGTTGATTGAAATTCAACATTTCCAGACCTTACTGTGAATTAGAATTGTGGTCACATGGAAGCAACTTGCCAATTGCTCGTATATCTGCATCAGGCACCGGTACCTTGGTACTACCCCAATATTGCCACTAGATCATCTATGGATTTCAATGTCTTTCCGTAGAACAAGTATGATTCGTATACTTTTGGTGAGCAAACGTAATAATCAAACTAGGAAAATTAAGAAAAAAAAGACCCATTAATAGAAAAATTAACATCATACACTTCATATTTTCATATGTAAAAAATTACACTATAGTACTCACTAATTCAATGCAATAATGAAGACTAGCTATGAACATACCTCAGCCATGTTATCCAACAATTCGTTGGCTGTTTTCACATATACTTCCTTTCGGCCTAGGGGCAATGTACTCATGGCATTTTTCAAATCCTAAGAAAGATAAGCTTGCTTTAGTCGAATGTAAAATATGACATACCTCCATGACATGTTCTCCAACATGTCTCTCATGCTATGCAACGCCTTAGCAGTTTGTTTAATTCTTGCGGCAGCATCTTCCGGTGACAAACCGGGTTCCAAAAAACGTTCCCTAAGAAATGAACGTGTGGCCCAATTCTCTGCTACTGCAACTGGGGTGCCATGCAGTCCTAGTGCTGCTAGTGATGTAACCAGAAATGTTGTTACAAGTTTTTCCAGTTGGTGATCACATTATTTTCTTCGGGTTGGAACGATGCTCGGATTATGGGGAGGGAGAGTTTGTTGCAATGGTGATTTTGGGGTGTGGTGAAGTTGTGGTTGACATGGAAGAGAGCTGCTGAATTAGTGAAGAAACTCATAGTGTTGGGCTAAAGTGAATGAAAGAGTTGAAGATCATTTAGGATATGTGCTGCTATGGAGTGACCAAACATGGACCTTAGCTTTTTGGGACGTGGCATTCCTTATCTTGTAACAAGCGACCAAACCAAAAAAAAAAAAAAAAAAGATGGGCTTTGATAGTCCTTTGAGTTGGCTGGAATACCTTGACTTGTGATTCTGGTGCCTGAGCTCCATCCAATACATTAACATCTTTAGTCAAAATTTCTGATGTTAATCAGGGGAAAATGTTATTGCAAAGGGAAATAAATAGATTTCGATGATTAATTCTATTATAGAAGTATTAATTTGACAAAATGGCAGAGAGAGAAAAAGAACATCATTGTAACCATCAGTCCCCTATTTTATCTACGGAAGCCTAAAATCAGCTTTTCTTGTGTTTTGCTTTTCGATTTGTATGACATAGAAGAATATTAGTACAAAAAATTCATCAAAATAAAGATACAAAGATAATTTGTTATTAGACTATCTACTTCTTAAAAGTACATAATATACATCTTTCTTTTGATATTAAAAATATTGTTTTTGATAGTTGAAATTATCATAAATTAAAATTTGATCCTCCAATAGAATAATGTTTTAGCATAATGTTTAAGATATTATGATATCTATAGAGTAATAGTTTTTTTTTTTAAGAGATAATTTAGATCTCTTTTATTTTTTATTTTTACAAAATTATTATTTGAACTTAATGTTGCATGAACAAGTTCTTTTTTTTTTTTTTTTGGATTTAATTACATGAACATGAGATAATATTATCACGCTTTGAGAATGAAATGTAATATGATCATATTACCTTGAAGTATAATTTTAAAGTAATACGAAACCTTCCTTCTTATTTATTTTAAACTTTTTTAATAAATTGATAATAAATCTTTATATATCCAAATATAAACTAATAAAAATATAAAATTATTTCATAAGATCTCACTAGCCAACAGTATATCTAACGCTCAAGTGACTTTGCTAATTTAATCTTTTAGCTTTTCACAAGACTAATTAAACTTATCATTATTCATCTGTAAAAAAAAAAAAAAAAAGAATAAGCAAACTACAGCTCAATGAGTATAGCCTCACATACTTGACCGAATCAGGCATTGTTTTTATACATATCATATAGATCATTCAAAAGATTTGTTAAAATATAATATCAAAATATTTAAAAAATCATCATTTTGTTGAACATTCGTAAACTCACAAATCAATATCAAACATATTAATTCATAAATCATTTTAAAATATACTATATGTCAAATATCGTAATCAAATCAAATCATGGATCAATCTTTCAAAATATCGTAAATCATAATTATCATTAATTTATCATTAGTTACAGTCACTGTTATAATCTGTGATATTAACCGTATCGACAATTTCATCCTCATGATTATTACTAATTATTATAACCTGTTAGCCAAACCGTATGATCATGATTATGTTAACTATTATAACTCGTTAGCAAAAACTATAAAACTAGTTTTGATGTTGATGATCCCACTTTTTAGGAATGTAAAAATGCAGTTATCATATAATCGTTTCTTAAACATAAATCATTTTCTCATTTTATTCATAAGTATCATCCATCATTTATATAGCAAAAACATAAAATAATCATATGCTTGATCCTATTTTCATATATCAAAAATAAAGAAATAAACTTTCACTCATTTAAAACATTCATATATTACATAGGCTTGAAAACAAGTAAAATGTGTGAAATTCTACTTGCCTCTATTTGATTCTATCAATTAATGTTTTCCCCAAAACAGTTAACATT